GGATTCGATGAACAAATAAACACGTTTCGAGCATTTGGGGTGCACAACACGAACTCGGGTACAACATATTTCGTGACTCCGATGTCTGAGGATGGGTCTCGAGAGACAACTCCCATCATGCTACCGACCGTTGACGATCTTGGGGAGTTGGCGGCTATAGGATTTGAGAGTTCTGGCTTATGGGTATATGGAATACCTGATCGTCTGGATATTGCTCCTGTAGCTCCCAACGCAAGAACATATGCTGAAATGGATGTTGAACAGGGCCCTTCGATCGAGGAGGCGGCTACTGCCCGGGATAGTCTGTCCCGACTCCAGCAGTCCATTACAAAGCCCAAGGTTCTGATCAATGGCCACAAGATGACCGACATGGCGGGAATGACAGCAGCTCGTTGGGTACGCCATCCAAACTGTGTGGCTGGTCGTCGTAGATTGGTAGCCGTTGCTCCTGGTGGCATTAGCCCTCCAACTATTGGCGAAGAAGACGTACCGGTAGATGGTGGACGTGTGCTGCTGTTAGACCTGGAACGATCTGTCACGGACGGTGACTCTACTGAAGTCAACATCGAAGTCGGTGATGCGGAGCCGAAGCTTCTAAGTGAACCGAACTCTACCCTAGATACTGAGGTCGAGCTGGAGAGGAGAAGGACGCGGTTACATCGTGGGAATGCTGCTTCACCTCGGGCACGCGCATTTGCCCGAGAGTCCTATCCTTCAGCCAATTCGGTCGTCCACGCACCTCGGCAATATGCCCGCAGAAACAGCTCCTTCTTCTCGGGCTCCTCGAATAGTGAAATCCAACACATTCCGGAATCACCATACGATAACACGCAGCCTCGATCTCGGGACACGTTGCGTCGTGCAGCCACGGCTGCGGCTAATGGTCGCGGACGCAACAACCCACGCTATCAAGACGAAGCGCGCCCTGTTCAAGGCCAAAGGCCAGCCACCCAGGTTTTCCAGGTTCCTCATGAGAGCGACGCAGACAATTGGGTTCCACCGCCACCTCCCTATTCTAGGGACCCCGACGCACCGCTACCAGATTATCTCCGAAGGACCCTCCTTCCTTCGAATACGGAACCGGCCCGTAGAGTCGGTGATGTTCCAGAAGGCATCCAGAGACCTCAGACAAGCCGTCTGGAACGGATGGTTGACGAATCTCCGTCCCGGAGCTCGCTGCAAAGATTGCATACCATTACTGGCTCACGGCTCGCCGCTCGCATGAGAAGGGGCGTGAGAGACTCCGAGTCCCCTGAACCGAACAGACGACATACCATGTTCTTTCGCAGAAGGAGCTCTGCCACAGGACCCCAACCTAACCTCCACGGGCTCGATGGAGCGCACATGCCTGTGCCAGAGCAAGACCCTGCGGTCAACTTCCAGGGCCAACTGCACCCTGTCCTCAGTGGGTCTACACAGCCGAATCAATCGTCAGCCGTTCAACGAGCAAATTACCAGGACGTTTTGCTTGAGGAGTCTTTGCTTGGCACTACAGACTGGCAGGAGGCTATGCCACCGACACAGAATGGGACTTTCAATCTGGACCATTACCCCTACTCCATCTCCTCGCCTAATCTTCAGGTCTCGACCTTTCAACATGATGCCCCCGAAGGTGTGCATGGGAGCCGACAACGTTCCACCTACTACCGAGGAGCAGATCGGCGCTCTCAATCTCAGAATGTCCGACTCCCGCCTGGGGGAATTCCACCGCTGAACCGCCGGGCATCGACAGACCCCACGCTATCTACCAGCTCACAAGCGGCTGCACATGATCTGTGGCGGAGGCGCATTGAAGAGTGGAACGAGCAGACCATCTACGAGAGAAGTAAACGCAGAAGCAAATGTATAGTGATGTAGGAAAGTTGCCTTAGGATATGGGGGTTAGACTGTTTAGGCTCTCGGCTCTGGAAATCTCTTGTTGTTTCTTAGCTCATATACCCGAGTGGACATATATAGGCTTTGTAGAGCTGTGCATAATAATCTTCTAAACCACATCTTCATGACCTTGCGCAGCTTTTACTTTCTGTCTAGATCGCGGGCAAGAAGCATTTATATCTTTCTTTGTATTTTCTTTTATCCAAATTTATTTTCTTTAAGGCAAGGGTTATGACTGCCTTTTATCTCGGTGACTCTTAGACCTAGGTCTAACCAGTTATTCCAGAGCAGTGATACCACATCAATGCAACCAGGGAAGACACCCAATTCTATGAATCTTGAGTCCTCTACTAATAGTGAAAAGGCTTTTCATAAACCACTACCAAAAGACAGCAGAATTGGAACCACGACCCATCATGGTTTCTATAAATACCACAAAGCCAGATTAGTCCAAAAAGAGGTTGTTGCCTTTCTGCGTCTCTCCTTCCACGCAAGGTCAAAGAAGAGTTTCCGTCCCGTGGTTGACTGACCCCCTTTGTGCTCATCTTCTTTCCCTAACCGTGCAACGATTCCAGGAACTATGCTGGTTTTGCTCTTCTCAATGTCTTTGTTCTCGACATCCTAAATATGCCGGCATATGGCTTCTACCTGCATACATTATTTCTGCGCTATCATCCTCCCTATCATTGAATTTGGTAGACTTACTCAGTAGGCACCATGCCCGACCCACACCCACGCTACAAACTTCGAGGAAGGAATCCCGTCGAAAAAGATGTCTTTGGAGGCCTGGATAAGTTCTTGAGAAAACAACGCAAGACTCCCCGGGTTAAAAAACCAGAAACAGGTGGAGAAGCAGGGAAGCCAAGGAAAGGTAAACGAAAAGGTAATCAAGAAGCCTCGCCAGGGCCATCAACGACGAATTGGTTTAAAGCCAAGATCCACCTCAAATTCATCAGAGACGCCCAAGAAGAATCAGCTCAACAGCCCGAGGAAGCCTCAGCAGAAGGTGCCGCCAACAATCCTGATAATCATCGCTCCACTGAGAGCGAGAAGGATCTCATACCTGGGGAGTCTCTCTCTGACACACATTTCTATTACCAGCGGACCGGATCTCGCAGGCCCGGTCGCTCGTTTGTTGCCAATGTTGAGGTAGATGAAGATGTGCCGGTGGATAAGATATTTGATTCCAGATATCTGCCATCAGATGATGATACTGGTAAGTAAACTCTGCTGCGCTGGCAAGACAGAGCACTGATTGAGGTTGCGCGGTGATTATAGAATATCAGAGGCTGGTGGATCTATGGCAAGACCCTGCAGTCGAAGATGCGCGCGAGATCTCGGACTGGTCTGAGTTAGAAAAACTAGTAGATCCGAAGAAAGCCAGGTTCGCTCCCTTTTTCAGGGACGTTCATGACGACAGCTATGGTAATAAAACAACAAATATCCTATTTGACTATATGGCCTCGCTTTTTGAGCACGTGCCAAGCCAAGGAGAAATGTGTGTCACCTTTTGACTTCCCGAATACTGTAGAGCCATGAAGAAGCTGATTATGTTCCCCTACCCAGTGAATTTCGCCAGCATTGCTATTTTCCATTGGCACGCGAAGACTTGGGAACGCACCAGGGACTTTATTTCCGACACTACATTGGAAAAGGAACTCTCAATATCTCTGGTGGTCAAGCAATTGGCGTTCCTCTCGCTATTTGCACGGTGAGATTTGTCCTCCTCGTGAGCCGGTACCTGGAGCTAAACAACCTGCAGTGCAAATTAAACCTCGGACGAGGTGGCGTCTCCCAGTCTGAGATCCCGGGACTTCTATTCCAAGCCAACATGGCATTCGAGTTTGAAAGTGATCACGAGGAATATCCTGCATATGTCATCAGCGTGCGAGGTTGGAGATTTCGATTCGTGAAAGGTATCATGACCCAGCAGGAAGTTGCCCGTTTCCAAGACAAGAAAAAGCGATCAGGGAGGATCAAGGTGCAGCGGACCGGGGAGTACGATATCTATGACCGCGAGGAGCGCAAGGAGTTTATCAGAGTTATGCTAGGCTTGTTGCGATCATTCAAAGATCGACGCGAAGCAGACTTTTCTACTGAACTGCCCTGATTCGGTGGTGACGTACAACCAGTGATGGTGTATATGTGCGTGTGTGTACAGAATGCCGTTATCATTATCTTGTGGAGCTATAGCGACTGAAGTTAAGACACTTGGACAGATCTTGTTGATCATTGGTCTGATAGTTATAGTGTTATAAGGCCTGCACTGGGTACTTATCTGGTTTCATTTCTGTTCAACGGGGCCTCGGAAAGCAGACAGATTGCTTCACTTCTCACCAAATCGATATGATCAATCACCACGCTACATGAGCAGCAAACCAGCTCTACCGTTGAACTAAGCAGTAAGCACTAACACAACCGAGGAATAGCCTGAAGCTCATACAAGCATCGGGTGTGAAAAGAATGAACAATGACGACAGCGTAGAAAGCACACGCAAGCATGTCCGTTGTTCCCAAACCACCAACTCCTCCATAAGAAGTGGTGAAACAATGGACATGATGTTGGGATAATTAAGTGGAACATGAGTGGTCGAATTCATACCAGTTATCCGGCCTAGTAGTTCCTGGTCCGTCGGACGTCCGAGCTTCCGGCTGGCGTCGGATAGGCTGCTATGGTGATAGGGCCAAGGAGTGGGGCCAATTAGATTATTCTAGTGTATGAGCTTTCTGGAGATACTAGATAGTCATACCATCTTTCCTTTAACTTCTCCTTTTCGAATGAAAGTGAGCAAGTATTTTCACTGTTCCTGCTATACAATATCAACATCAAGGACAGGCGTATAGTTAGGGTTGAAAACAGGGACTCGGGATTACCTAACCAAAAAGGGTTCAGGTGGGGCGGATCCTCCGATGGCCCGTGGTGACTAAGGCGCCACCGTTGCGCCTCTGCTATCATCACGTGCTTTTTTTTTTCGGGCGAGACCACGTGAGAGCGAGATCGGACAGCTTCTCCTCGCTCGCAGTCCGTTTCCCCCGCGCTGGATTGATTCCATCCCAATCTCAGTAAGAAAGGGTCTGGATCCCTCCATTCGTCTCCTCCTCGAAAGGATCTGCACGCACAAACAGCGCGCCTTGACATAACCTCACCCATTTCGGTGTTTATTTGTTTCACACTTCTCCGACTTTCTCTCCGAAGTTCTTTTTCCCTCACGTGGGCAAAAGGCTCGTGCCCAGCCAATTTCCCCGGCAGACCCCCGAATATTCTTTTCTTTTGATTTGGTGTTATAATACCACATCCTATTTCGGCCCTCTTACTACCTTCCCTACTATCAGCCTGGAGTCTTCCGAACGATCGCCCAGCGGAATCGGAGGCAGGGGCCTGCAGGGTGCCATCCTGGAGCCACTCGCAGGAGAGAATGCTTCTGCTGCCCCCAGTCCCGTAATGGGAGGTGCCAGCCATCCATCTGTCTCCCCTGCTGTTGGGTCTGATGCTGCGGGTCCAGCCAGGAAGCGCACCACCACCATGGCGGGGTTGGACAGCTCCCCGGGCAGTATTGATGATATCGACGGGCAGGACAACCAGGAGGAGAAGAAGAGACAGCCCGTGAAGCGGGCCTGTAATGAATGCCGTCAACAAAAGGTAAGCTCACGCCACTTAGGGTTTCTTTCCCTCCGAGACATGTGGCTTATCTGGATTGTCGTTAACCTTCTTTCATTTCATACAGCTCCGATGTGATGTAATCCAAGACCCTTGGACGGATTGCTCTCGATGTCGTCGTCTAAAGCTCGACTGTAAAATCGAAACCAACTTCAAACGGGTTGGGAAACGCAGTCGCAACGCCGAGATGGAACGCGAGATTATCGAGCTGAGAAAGCAGATCGCTACTGTGCAGGCTGGGGCTATACCTCCGTCACAGTCGGCGTCTTTGCCACCGGTTCAGACCCCCAAGCAAGAAACGGCCAGTCAGGTTGGCTCGGGAGTCTACCATACGCCGTCGGCCATGTCTACGGATCAGTATATGGGTTCTCATGAAGCCGTTGCGTCGCTTCTGGATTTGCGCTCTGGCTTTGATGGCACGAACTTTATGAGGAACGGCAACCATCACTTCAAGCGCATTGAAGATGTCGCGGTCGTTCCGGAGAGGGTGACTGAGCTGTTTCATCTGTAAGGCTTGAGCAGACTGTACTGTTCACAGGTCAATGCTAATGCTGTTAGGTTTTTCACCTTCTACCATCCGTTTCTACCGTTCCTTGATCGAGACCAGTCGCCTGATGATTACTACAGCGCATCGCCACTGCTGTTCTGGACCATCATCAGTGTAGGCGCGCGGCGCTTCCAAGCCGACACCCACCTTCTCAATTCCCTCTCAGGCCCGGTTTCGCGACTGGTGTGGAGTACGCTGGCGGACATCCCACAAAGCTACCACGTCGTGAAGGCTCTCTGCTTGCTCTGTACCTGGCCTTTCCCTACCAGCAGCACGTCCACCGATCCGACCTTTATGCTCTGCGGTATGATGATCCAAGTGGCAATGCAGCTGGGGCTGCACCGTCCATCTCACACGCAGGACTTTAGCAAATTCCGCGTGGAGCTCATTGAAGAGGAACTTAGAGACAAGGTGCGAACGTGGGCAGTCTGCAACATTGTCGCCCAACGGTATGTGGTTTCATCATTATCAATTTCGATCCTTTACTGACCGCGATGTAGGGTTGCTACTGGTTATGGCCAGCCTCCGTCTAGTGTGTACGACTGGACACTGTCTTCAAATGATTCGATGGACCCCAACTTCAGGTTGCCCGACGACATCAGGTCAAGGCTGGAGATTGAAAAGTTTTGCGACAAGGTTACCAAATCTTTATACACCAATCGGCGGGACCCCGTCGGACTTTGCAGCGATCAGGAGCGATCAACATTGATATCGTTCCTGTCGCGGGATTTCGATGAACTGGAGAATCAGCTGAAGGCGCACAATGACAGTACGTTCTTTCTTAGGTATCATGGAATTATAAAGACGGTCTAACCTTTTCAGGTATCACCAATCTCTATCTGCGCGCATCGAATCTGCACCTCCATCTCTCTGCGTTCTTCGACGACACAACCGCAAAGGATTATAGAGAGCGTCTTCTCTCGCTTTATGTTGCCACCACGACGTTCCTCGAAGCAGCGATGAACCTTGAAACAGAAGTCGGCCCGGTGCTGTCGTACACCCCGTACTACGTGTATCAGATGATGGTTGCAGGCGGATGTACTCTGCTGAAGCTATGCAAGAGTTTCTTCGCCGCGCACATCGACATGGATTATGCAAAGAACCTCTTCAACCGGACGATCTGGGCCATTAGACGCGTGTCCGTTTCCAGCAACGACCTGCCGGAGCGACTGGCGGAAGTAGTAGCGCAGATGTGGCGGCTGAACAACGTGCCCACACCGAAATTGACGGCAGACGGCGGAGAGGTCGACGATTCGCTGATGCTCAAGGTGCGCTGCCGAATGAGTATGTCCTTGCTTTTCGACTCAGTCTGGCGGTGGCGGGAAGACGCGCGGACCAAGGGGCGTAATCTCGAAGGTATGCACGGATGCAAACACATCGACGTATGTATCGGAGACTGACAACAACTGCAGCCTATCTCAAAAACCCAACCAATCCAGACTCCAACGCTGAATCCTCCAACTCGTCATCAATTCAACCGACGCGCACCTCGACCGCGACACCCGGAGTCGCCGGCGCCGCAGACCCCAGTCTCGCGCCAGCCCCCATGATCCCCCAGGCTAACATGGGCGTATCCGCACCGAGCGCTGTGGGTGCCCTTCCCAGCGGATTCATGGAACCTAATTACGAAGTATTCGATCCGCTGAACTGGCTTCTGGACGGACTGGTCGATTTGCCGTATTCATACTCGACGATATCGGGGATCGAGTCTCAGGGTATTGCATGAGCAGAATAATTCTGTTTGTTCGACGACTGACATGGCATATAATTCTTCTACACTACTTTACATATATTTGACGACTTCTTGATCTTTCTTGTTGATTGATTGATTGATGTACCATATTATTATACCAGCGAGATGATTGGATTGATGTCCGACACACGCACACCCCCCCACACACCTCCGACAACCCTTACATTATGGAGTCAGACTGGAGCGAGGAGTTGGCGATTTGCTTTGCTTTGCTAGCTTTATTCGATGCTAGGGTTGGATTTTTGTTTTGTCTTGTTTTGTTTTCTTCAGATGATACCATGTATCGATAGTTGGATGCGATGCATATAGTTGCAATAGATGTATCTACGTGACTTTCCAACTCAAAAAGATAAGATTCTGGAAAGTGAGATATAGTTTGGAGGTACCATATTATCTATTAATCTAAGGTCTAGTGTAAGTAGATTATGATACGGTTATAGTTATGGTTATTTTAGTCTCAAGTCTAAGTCTAGCTTACCAAGTTCTTAAAACCATGGATGGATATCACGTGGCTGGCGTATTCCAACATCTTAACTAGTACTCCGTTACTTCATCTCCATTCAAATTACATAGATACAATCTATCTATCTATCACCACCTTTATAATATATCAATAATCCATACCCACAACTCCTTCACTCCTACAAGAGATAATACTATATCAACAATGACAGAATACACAACCACCCGCCCTACAAAATCTCTCCTCATTCCTAAGAAACGTCCCCTCAAGAGCCCATCCACCAAGTTATCCAAGAACTATTCTACGGAGAAATACACACCAACCCTGCATCTCATATCTTCATCTTCATCTACAGAACAAAACCCTAAGCCCAAATCTACAGATAAGGATAAGGATAAGGGAGCGAGAGCTACTACAACAACAGAGTTTAATTTCTCTCTCCCGCCGCAGCCATTTCTTGATCCGGGATGTTGGGAGAGGATTCGTTCAGTATCTTCTTCGAGGTTAGGTGGTGAGGGTGGAAGTGGGAGTGGACCTGGAAGTGGAAGTGTCATGCAGTTAAATGAGAGGGAGAAAGAGGAAGAGAGAAGACGGAGGAGGGCGAGGGAGGCGGAGTATGGGGGGATGGCTGTTCGGGGGAGGATTAAATGATTCATCTTTCTCTCTTTCAAGTTTTTTTTTCTTGTCTTTTCGTTGTAAATCGGTTTTCTATAGTGTATGGAGTTGTGGGTAATTATTACTGTGGATCTAGTTATATGATATGTATGATATTCCTTATTGATTTAGGTAGGTAAGATTGGGGGCATCGTGTATGTAGTTGCATAAATCATCAGTAAGGTGTGGTATGGTATCTTCATCATCATGAATGGACTGGGACCATCCAGTTCTCAAATCAAGAGCAAAACAATCCAAAACATAACAATAACAGACAGTACAAAATGCATGACTAATTCCAAACATATGCAAAATTCATCATCATATCGTCGTCGCCGTCATTCGTTGCATAGCATATAGCACATTCTAAATAACGATAAAGAGAGACATCACGGTCATTCAATCTCTGCCGATAGCATCATTCTGGTATTTTAAGCTGCGTGCTCGACTCCATCAGAACTGCACCGCTGATACTCTGCTTGAGTTTCTCGCGTTTGGCTTCTCGACGGTGCTCCGCGTGCCGCTGCCATGTGCGTCGCACGCGTTTGCGGATGTTGCGGACCTTAGTCGTTCGGAAGCGAAGCCGCCACCATGACAGGGATCGGAACCGCTGGTGGTGGAGCGATGTCTGTGAGCAGAACGCCTCGGGGCTGAAGACTTGGCTTCCTACGAGCGTGCTGCGGTTGGCGAGGTGTCGACTGGCTTGGTCGGGCCGCCGTCTGGCACCCGGGCTGCGAAGCGCAGGACCTTCAAACACAACGCGCTGCTGTGGCATGCCTAACGAGTTCTTGATCACTAAGTCCGACGCCTCAGGGTTTGCAGCGGGCGAGTGAGGAGCCTCGCGAGGCGACCCCTCCTCTGGTTCCGAGTCCTCCCAGAACCGACGAGGCCGCCAGAAAGGCTGCTGTCGCCCATCAATGTCCTTGCCGGCCTTGCGGTTCTTCACCGACGTCAGTGACAATGAGCGGACGAATGAATTGAAAGAGTCAGACCGAGGACGTACCAGCCACGGACGGCGGCCCGGGCCAAACCGACGGCCCCGGAGCTTACTTGGCTCGTTGGTGTAACCTGCTCCGCCCGGCTGACGGTCGCCGTCTGGCACGGGCGTCGGGGGCACGACCTGGCAGATGGGCGGCTTTGGCGGCTGGCGGGGGTTTTTGAGAGGGGATGTCATCTCGTAGCGTTGAGTGGGAGATTCTTCCATTCGGTGTTGGTACAGTTCAGGGTAGTCGGGTTGCCCTCGTTGTGTAGACTGAGCCTGCGGGTCGACCAGGAGCAGTGATTCATTGTTGTGCGGGAAGAAGACGACGGTCCTCGCCTCAGAGACTTCGATCAGGCCGGGCGAAGATGAAGGGATCGAGATTTGTGTGTACGGCATTGATGGTGGGCGCAGATGCGACATATCCTCCACTCCGATGATAATGGACTGCGTCTTGGATGCTTCCACAGCATCATGTGTCTCGCGGGTTGCGGTCTCTGCTTTAGCTAGACGTGGCTGCTCAGCAACACGATCATGAGTTCCATGTTCCGTAGTCAATGCATGGTCCCGCAGGCTCTCTGATGTCAAAGACGTAGCCCGCGAGTTATTTCGACTGGTTGGTGCAGAGAGCGAGGAGCTGCGGGCCGGGATACTCGGTCGGCCAGAGTGGCGACCACGAGATTCCGCCCGCCTCGAGCTGCTCGCAGTCGTGTCGGACGTGCGCTTCTGACGAGGAGGCTCGCGAGAGCCAGGCCGGCTACCCGATGCGGACGGGCCTTGCCGACTGGAGTGGCGCGAGCGGCTTTGCGAGGTATTTCTGCTGGTCGAAGTGGACGACTTGAGAGAGGAGGTTCGTTCCGGGATCACAACCACCGGCACCACATCCACGGTTTGCTGCTGAGTGTTCACACTGGAGGCTCCAGAGAACGAGAATTCCGACGCGATGCTCTTGCGGTCGCTCTCGGTGATCCGACCAGCTTTGTGTACTAGGCGATGTTGCGAGTCCGCGCTGGAAGCGGTTGATGCATGTTCTGGGCTGGGGAAAGGCGAACTAGCCGAACGCAGCGAGCCTCTTTTATCGGTATGACGCAGGGATCTTCGAGTGGACCTTGGAGCATCGATGATCATTACCTCGACAGTGGATGAAGACATGGACACGTCTGACAGCCGGCGAGCGTCGTCGTGCTCCGCAGAGTGAGGCTGGTCCTCCGCACGTGGCCAGCCAATCTCTTCGCGAAACTGTTCAATGGACAAGCCACCCACTGGTTCCTGCGCATCCCGGACAGACTCCCGTAGATTCGAGGGTGCTGGGGGAACTTTGTTCTGTGTCTCCCAACCATTCAAATCGTAGCCATGTTCTGCGTCCGCAGTACGGACCTTGGGAACCCCATTTCTCGTAGACTTCTTCCTGCGCGGCGGCGACACCTTCAATTCTGGATCATCGTCCATCTTTCGTTGCACATGGGTCTCCATCACGGACGGTCGGAGGCGTTGAGTACGAGGATCAGGAACCGGTGTCGACTCTCCACTCCCTCGGTCATCATAGTCCGCCGGCTCGTCCCTCAACGACCTCTGTCTGGTAGGCCACAACGACTGCGTAGACTGACGAGGAGTTTCCGTCTCTGCGTCCGAGATCATTTCATAGGCTGTCCGAAACGACTCGGCGTGCGATGAGGAGGAAGAAGACAGTCCAAAGTGCGACAGTCCCGGACGCGGGGCGGAAGGAGCGACACGCGGGGGAGTAGTTTCAGGCGTGGGTGGATGGGACGGCTTGGAGGTCACCGCCCCGTTCACGGAGTAGGATGAAGTAGCTTTAGGCGTGCTTGTTCCGCTGCTCATGAGGTCTTCGCTCTGAGCAACTCCAGGCGGCGTTAAAGGACGGACGGGAGCGGCTGCCAACGGGGTGGCATTTGAAGGGCGGCCATGCTGAGGTTGAGGCGTTGCCTCGATGGCTGGAGGGCTCCAGAGGACATTTGGCCTTCGTCGTAGAGACTTGTGGGCCCTCAACTGGGGCGGGTCCAGGTGTCCTGGTGAGGCGAGAGACGTGTTCACGACTTCCAGGCCGGGCATGGTGAGATGGCCCAACTGTCTGGGATGCCCAATTGGCGGACCCGACGGTCGCGGCAATTTGGACTGATATTTGTCACAAGCGATCACAGAGGGTGATTGGCAGGAGAATCATGACACTTGAGTTGTTTCAATGGAGATTGGTCCCAGCTAATAGCTGACGACGTCGCATCGCCTGCTCACCGCGGCAGTTCGGAGTGTGAGGTTGAGTTTCAAACAAGAAGATAACGTTTACTACAATGGATAAGAAACCCCCAAAAGAGGTGACCGTTTTGGATAACGGCTACCTTGTACACATTCACTGGATCTTTATCTTTATCTTTTCTTTTTCTTTCCTGCCAACCCTGGGACAAAGTTTGTTGTAAAAGCGACTGAGCGGCGGCCAGCAAGGGAGGGAAGTGGATGGACAGCGCAAGGGGAGGAACACGGTAAACTAACGAATTAATGCCCACCCCAGCGCGTCTTACAAACCAGACCGATGCCAATTCTTCCGGTCAGCAGCGATTATCCTCCTCCAGGGGCATCGACAATTCCAAAAATAGAGAATATAGTTAAGAATTGGGGCCAGGCAAGGCGTGACACGCAGGAGGAAACCCCGTTGGCACAGAAAAGGTCCGAGGAGCGCGACGACGAGGCAAGACAGAGATGAGTCGCAAAGACATTCCACGTTGCGGATCCAGCGCGCGGTGCACTCAGCGGACCGCCCCAGGTCAATCCGGGATAATGACCGCGATTAAAGTCGTGGGTCGGCTTGGCAAACTACATGGAGGAAAGCAGAGGGGGAAGGATGAGGCCCAAGTATGGCAGGGCTGGCTAATTGATGGTCTGGAGAAGCGCGACCGAATGGAAGTGGGAGAGAGATGATGAGGGGGAATGAATGGATGGAGGGATTGATTTGTTCGGAGAATCGGCGACGATCCAGTGACTCGCCCTGCAGTTGTCACGGGATGCTCCGAAATGGCTATAGGCTCACACTACTATAAGACGGGGTTACTACAATGCCATATAGGACCGGGAAGTACCCGAGGCATCAAGGTTATTGCTACACAGTACACCAGACGTTGCGGTGTCGACACGGTTAAGTAACTTCTCCCAAGTATATATCGACACCGCCGGTTACTGTAGGTTCCTGATCGCGTTGAACAAGGAATTGCATCATCGATGACATGAGTCCCCCTGCAACGTTGGCAGGAAATCTCGGGAGTGGCGTGTGTAATCCATGGTCGACCACAGCTGAACCATCCCCCAGACCGGGAACACAGTAACAACTGCCAGAGGACCCGCGATTGTTGTTTGCCGGCGCTGAATCGGATCCGACTTTTGCTGAGAAGCGGAATGGGTAGGCGAGCAGAGCAGCCACTTAAGTAGGCACGGGATGGCCCCCCCAAACGAGGGATTAAACTGCGCATATGATGACATGACGACCAGTGAGAAGAAGAGTCTGACGATAACTCGAATCGGAATAAAGGGCTAGACCCAGATCTTTGTTGAATAATCAGGACAGAGCTTGTATCTCGCGTTAATCTAATCTACTACGTACTAATGTCATTTCCGATTTGAAATCAGTCATGGGGGAGGATATGAAGAAGCCATGACGGGATATGACGCAGTGTGAGATGGTCAGTGAGCAGCCACCAAATGGAAGTGAAATTCGGGAGTAATGAAGCGAGATGAGGGAGAGATTAAGTATGGGGTTAGTTAGTGGGAGCAATGATAGATGATGAAGAAGGCGAAAAGGCGATGATGCCAGAAAGAAAGACTAACTGACACAGAGAGAGACAATCGGCACGCGAGGCTGGCTGAGTCATCACCCACAGAAGGAACCAGACTAACCCGAACCGGCAAGTCAGCCTAGGCGAAGATCCCCTTCGACGTCATGGCTGCTTGCAATTCCACCTCCGCTGGCCGATGACGCTCCATGCCGTTCATTCGAGTTCCCTCCTCTTTTCTTTTTTTTGATTTAGATTTATTTTATTTTATTTGATCTTACGCTTCCTCATGCATCGGCATGTGTTCTTGAAATTATAATCTTAATAGCCTCTCATCCGTCTTCGTCCGCCATTGATTTTTTTTTCTGATTCCTGCCACGGTGCTCCCTCACGTTGTGCTGCCTGCAGTCTGTCCAGCTGCCCTCATCCATCCATCATCCATCCATCGATCTGCCCATCGGCCAGCATTTCCCCACCATCCCGTCCTCTCGCTTTCTCTCCGTCTCCATTTCAGCTGAAAGAGAAAGGGAAAGAAGATTAAATTAAAATTAATACTCTACGACGATTATTTTGTGACTGGTGTCCCGTCCATTCTCCAATCCTTTCATCCAGAATTTCAACTGTGGTTCTTTACTGGGGTGTGTCTTTTTTTGACTGTGCAGCAAGCAGCAGTGATCTCACTCACAGGTAATAAAATACTCATCCCAAAAATACCCTCCCCTCTCCTCTTTGCTCCTCCCCATTCTTGTGTGTCCATTTTCTTTGTTCGGTCCTGCCACCTTGTAATTTATTTTGACAAATCCCGATCGATCATCTTCCCGAAACGTCATGGTTTTGTCTTTTCGAAGTTATTCTGTCATTACTCACGCACATCTTTCCTTAAGTGACTGTATTTCCCAACTGACACTAACGGACAATTACAGTTTAGGCCTTGGCGGGGTAAAAAAGCACCAGCAGCTAAATTAGACACAGTTTAACCCAAAAAAGGACAAAAAACGAAAAAAACAGAGACACAGAGAATCTTGGTTCCTTCCCAATCACATTTCATCATCTGGCTTTCATTTCTTCTTCCTCGTCCTACTGACCTTGCCTGACTCCTACTATTTCCTACTACTACTTACTGTCTGGCCTCTTTCTTCCCTCCCTTTTTCCTCCCCCCCCTTACTACTTACTTCTCTTCACTTTCCTTTTTCCTCATTCCCTGTCCCTTTCTTTCCCTTTTCTTCCATTGTAATCCCCCACTTCCCCTTCCCTCCCTCCCCCCCCCCCCCCTTACTCAGCACACACACTATGAGTACCATACAAAGTCTCAAGAATTTCATACGTCATGGCAAACAAGCCCGCCTGGTGACGCCGCATGCCGAACCCACCACCAATGTCTCTCCCATTCATGCCGAACAACAACGTCAACCCCAGGGCTCCTACCCTCCCGCTGCTGGCAACCTGGATGCCATTGACAGCAGAATGGGCAACGGCCAGGCTCAGCCGTCCCAGAAGAATTCCGACCAGACCCGCCGCGCGCGCGAGGCCGAACTCGAGCAGATTATCGCAGAGGAAAAGAGCAGTCGCAACAAGATGCCCCGATACCCCGGCCTCGAACGTTATACCCTCGTCGAGAAGATGGGCGATGGCGCTTTCAGTAACGTCTATCGCGCCAGGGATAGCACCGGCGAATATGGCGACGTGGCCATCAAAGTCGTCCGGAAGTTTGAAATGAATAGTAATCAGGTAGGAACTGCAACCACACACTCGTTTCCCTTGGTTGTGTCATGGTTTATATGCGCATTCTGGTTATTCCTCTTTATGCTGCTCTCTGTGTTTTCTGATTTGCTGGTTTGCCTTGTTTCCTCTTTACATCTCTCTTTTTCTCTTTCTGAGTCATTTCGCCAATCTCTTGTCAATAGTCATCCGCCCATCTACATCCCGGGTTGAAGAAGAAACCCAAAGCTACAGAGGTGCGCAATCCCTCTGGGATGATCTATCATGAGTCACCCATCCAAGTCGCATGGGTCGCCTTATACCCTGCCCTTGCAATGTCTTCTTTTCGCCTCCCTTTGCTACCAATGACTCCAAAAGTGTTTGCTCGTGCTAATGACTCATTTCTTTCTTAGCGCGCCAATATCCTGAAAGAAGTCCAGATTATGCGCCAGCTAGATCACCCGAATATCGTCAAACTGGTCCAGTTTTCCGAGTCGCGCCAATATTACTACATCGTGCTGGAACTCTGCCCTGGTGGCGAGTTGTTCCATCAGATCGTGCGATTGACCTACTTCAGCGAAGACCTTAGTCGCCACGTCATTCTTCAAGTTGCCAAGGCCATTGAGTATCTTCATGAGACATCCGGTGTCGTGCATCGGTAAGGCCTGACCTCCTACGTGCTCTTGTCCGCCCCCTGGCTTTGCTGACTTTTGCGACAGTGACATTAAACCCGAAAACCTTCTCTTCTACCCCATCGACTTCATCCCGAGCAAAAACCCCAAACCTCGTCAACCTGGGGACGAGGACAAGGTCGATGAAGGCGAATTCATTCCCGGAAAAGGCGCCGGCGGCATTGGTGTGATTAAGATCGCCGATTTTGGTCTGTCCAAGGTCATCTGGGACAGCCAAACTATGACGCCCTGTGGAACTGTCGGCTACACCGCGCCCGAGATTGTCAAGGATGAGAGATACTCGAAGAGTGTTGATATGTGGGCTCTGGGCTGCGTTCTCTACACCCTCCTCTGTGGCTTCCCGCCTTTCTATGACGAGAGCATCCAAGTTCTCACCGAGAAGGTCGCGCGTGGCCAATATACTTTCTTGTCGCCGTGGTGGGACGATATCTCCAAGTCGGCGCAGGATTTGATCTCCCATCTTTTGACGGTTGACCCGGAGAAGCGGTACACGATCAAGCAATTTTTGGAGCATCCGTGGATTCGTCAGACCGACGAAGCAACCGAAGCAGCTGCAGATGCTCCGCCTCTGGCAACCCCGCTAACCACCCGCAAGACACAACAACTGGACGCCTTCGCGGCCGATCAAGCGCCCTATGCCCCGGCCAGCGCCCGTCTCTTGGACCCAGCTTCTGCCGGCCTCGAGCGTCCCATGGACTTCCGCTCTCCTGGTGCGATCAACTTGCGCGAGGTCTTCGACGTGGGTTATGCCGTTCACCGGCAGGAAGAAGAAGGCAAGCGGCGCAAGAACTTCCGCCAAGGGTATCGTGGTGCGAACCCGTCTACAGCATTCCAGTCTGCGCTTAATCCGTTGAACGAAGACTACGACGAGGCTGAAGAGATCACCTACCAACCTCTTCCTCGGGAAGATTTCCCTCCGGCTAAGATTCCCAAAGCCTCCCAGCAAGCCAGTGACGTAGCGGCCATGGAGGCAAAACTTCGATCGACGAACCTGGGCGCGCCCAGCCACGCCGCGCAAGCGCGCCAGGCGCACCAGCCACGACAGCAGCAAGGATACGGCCAGCACAGCGCCAAGGTGGCAGCCGCTGCGAAGCAGAGCATTGCGCGGGGTGCGCGGGAGCCCTTCGAGCTGAGTCTCGACAACGCCACCTTATTAGAAAAGAGAGGTCGACGACAACAGGGCCAGGTTGCTTAAGCCTCTCCCTTTCCCAAACTCTCTCTCTCCATCTGCCAAGATCCACAACACTACCTGACAACTCGAGAGCCACAGGCTACGAACTCCCCTTGCTTATGAGTTTCTTGATCTGATGACCTAACCCTTATTCCCCCTTCCCCTTATTCGAACGTTGGACAGGATCCCGGGTGGCTACACACGAACTCGATCGGTCGCATTTATTCTGGGTGTTTCTTTTTTTTCTTTTTCTTTTACCTCTTCATTTCATGGCTGGTAATTTTTTTTTCTGCTCATGTTTTAGCTGTATTCGGGTTCTGGGCACAGCATATGGTATGGTCCCTTTTCTTCTCACATTTGTACTGATTGTCGCTGGGCTGTTTTGTTCGATGAATGTCATTACGCGCGTGCCATTTTCCTCCGGGGCTATACATTTACATGCTTTGATGCTTCAGATGCACATACATACACATTTGCGAAAGGAGCACATTCGTGGCATGGATTTTCACGATGCGTGGTGGGCTATATCTATGGATATCACTGCAACTGCTTCCTTTTTCTCTTCGGGGTAGTCCGGCGTATGTACGTTTTGCTCTCTTTCTTTCGTAACTAAAAGCGAATCCTGGTCGATCTATGTTAGTATCTCTAGATGGCCGAAACGGATGAACATGATCATAGTTCATGTCTGTAGAATTATGCCTTGAGCCTAATTGGTGCATTCCGCGTAGCTCTTTTATACAAGTATAGTAGTGCATACTTACTGCCTTGGAAGACTCTCCGAAGAACCAAGATGCCTGCATGTATATCCATACAGACATGACTCCCTATGCCCTAGATAATACAACTAGTATTCCATACAGTGTGCAGTATCACCCTTTTGTCTAAATAGAAAAGAAAAAAAAAATTACATATCCCATCTACAACAGTGCTCAAAGTAATGCTCATGGTTTCTAGTTTTGCAGTAAGTAGAGGTAGTAGTAGCACTAGTAGCAACACACCTCAATCTAATATCACCATCACTCTTGTACCCAACCCACTTATCGGGTATATATCCCCCATCCGTCATTACCATCTATCTAATCAAGACTCTTATCTATGTAGTGTTGATATTTCTTACCTCCAGTCTGAACTAACTAGCAAGTATCTGTCTATCTATCTATCTATCTATCTAGTCCCTTACTCAGGACTTGTATTACCGATTGAGGAGAGGAAAAGGACATTAGTTTATCTGATTGGTATGTTGTCTGTAGATGTAGTATATAGTATGTAGTATGTAGTATGTACGAAGAATGAGA